ACAAAATTTATTAAGGGTTACAGAATAATTTAAATGTTTTCTAATGCATGGTTTCAGCAAGTGGGCTGTTTTTGTGGTCTTGCATTACCATGCAAAGTGAAGACTGCCTATTTGTACTTTTTTAGATGAGTTGAGTTTACAAAGTAACAGCTTGCCTTTCTTTCTTTCTTTCATTTTTTTCATTCTTTCTTTCTCCCCCTTCCCTCCCTCCTTTCTTCATTCCTTTCTTCCTTCCTTCTTCCCTTCCTCTCTCTCTCTCTCTCTCTCTCTCTCTCTCTCTCTCTCTCTCTCTCTCTCTCTCTCTTCTTGTGAGTTAGGAAGGAGGTGAAAGCAGAAGAAATGTGGTTCCTCTGTTTAAAGGAACAGAAGACCTGCAGGAGCACAATGATCACTTTTAGAGCTAACAACCAATGAAAACCAATCAGGGACTTAATCTATTTTATAATTTACAATAGATCATAAAATGAGACTCACTTCTTTGCATATCAAGTAATCTGCTTTTTATGCTGTCCTCGAAATATAAATATTCATAATTGATGAATTCAAGTATGATTATAATAGGTACATTTTCCAAGTTGAAGACTGAGTGCCAGAGTCTTCCAGAATCTTTGGGTATAAGGTGTTGTTTGAGTGGAAGTCAGTGAACCTCACATGCATACATGTAAACTAACTCTCATCAGAAATGATGTCTGGGCATTACCCTGCATGTCACCTACCATATTGCTGGTCTAATTAACCCTAGTATTAGAAATGTTCATAAAGGGCCGACCCTGTGGCTCACTCGGGTGAGTGCGGCGCTGGGAGCGCCGAGGCCGTGGGTTCGGATCCTATACAGGGATGGCTGGTGCACTCACTGGCTGAGCGCGGTGCAAGCGACAACAAGCCAAGGGTTGCGATCCCCTTACTGGTCACACACACACACACACAAAAAAGAAATGTTCATACAATTTTACTGTAGATAATGGTAGCTATTATGATACCAAAGAAAAGGCTCTTTTTGGCCATGCATACACACACACACACACAAAAAAGAAATGTTCATACAATTTTACTGTAGATAATGGTAGCTATTATGATACCAAAGAAAAGGCTCTTTTTGGCCATGCATATACACACACACACACACACACACACACACACATTTATATGTGGAAAAGGACATAGAAAACAAGCAGCGTGGATGCATAAGGATTATACATCTGCTGATGGGAAGGTATTTTCAAATACAGACACATAATAGGAAAATGAACTTCTTTTCTGGCATGAAACAATGCACAGTATTTCATTTGTATTTTAGGGCACAGCACCAACATTATATGTAGTGTTTACAAATACCTTGTCTTCTAGCACAGTGCAGGATTTTATTGCTCCCTACCAGTCTACTCTATTTCTGTATATGGGCTTCTATGATACGAAATGGGGTAAACCTGCTGAAACTTGCCCTAGGGGGTTTCCATCCTTAACCACACTCTATTATATATTGGTGGGTCCATAACCTTTATTCTCAAAACAAATAATTAAAACAAAACTCAAGATCCAAAGACAAGATATATCTAACTATTTAAATAACGAGCAACATTTTCCTCTCATTAGGTGCATTTCCCCTCATTTGAATAAGAGATCTTTAAGAGATCTTCTTTGTCCAACCCAGCCAAAGGAAAAACCAAAATGACTAGTACATTTCAAAATCTAGAAATTAACTTTCATTTTTCTTTAAGTTTTTCATACTTCCTAGTTTTTAAAAATGCTAAAATGCTCATGTTATAGTTCAAATTTATAATAACCAATATGCAGGAAACATCTGAAAGGACTAATGGTAAATTACTATAAATGTTCCTAATGCATTAGG